CTGTCCCCACCACTCTCTCCCTCCAGGACACACATTTCTCCTGGGAGTTACAGAGCGGAGAGGGGCTGGAGCTTAACACAATTTGTATTCTCACTCTGCACTTTGTGATGGATAGACAACTGAAATTGTAACTTCAAGCCAAGCCAAATACACAACAAAGTCATTCAGGATTTCAGAATAGTGCTACAATATAAGTATAACTATAACTACTACTACTACTACTACTACTACTACTACTACTACTACTACTACTACTAGTACTAGAATTTTCAGTCAGTATATTATGATACGACAGACACTTTAGTCCCGTTTTCTGTGACCGTCAAAACTAAATCTTGAAAACGTCGTACTTGGATTAATAGATCAGTGCAATGCTTTGTTATTCACTTATATAAATAAATATATATTCATAAGGCAAAGATGGAAGTCCCAAGAATGTATTAAAATGATTATTGTGAACTTTAAACCATGTTAAAATGCTGTTACCTTATCCAAAACATACCTGGAGTTGTGTTTTGTCTCATTTACACATGCTTGAGTAATCCTTTATGCATCTATCTACATCTCCAAAGCTTAAAATACTTTGTTCTACCTTGTGATGTCATGAAGCGATAGTTTTCAAGCTACTTTTTACCTTTAGTTGAGTACAGGTTCACAATTCCAGAGGTGAAATTATCCAAACAATTCAAGTGAAGGTGAACAGAGTTAAAAAAAACAAACAGTGGAGCACTTTCTGTATGACATAACAAGGTGGAACCAAGTGTTTTCAGATTGAGAAAAGAACATGCACTGAAAAATACACTACTGGTCAAAAGTTTTAGAACATTACACTTTTCATTTTATTTATTTTTTTTACTGTTGACCAAAACATATTCTAACTTTTGATTCATGAAAGTGTCCACTATTGGCATAAATGTGTGGCACTTGTAGGTTTCTTGGCTTTCACTCTTCTGTCCAGTTCATCCCAAACCAGCTCGATGGGGTTTAAGTCTGGAGACTGTGCTGGACACTCCATGTTTTCAAGCTCACCATCTTGTTCTTTTTTCCTGAGGTAGTTTTGGCAGAGCTTGGATTTGTGTTTTGTTATCTTTTATCTTTTTTTTAACCTCTGGCTGTTCAGTTCTTACCTTTGTACGATTTTAATCTCTTCACTGGACTTGCACGACTTGAATTGCAATAAATAACTGGAAAAATTAGGGTATTCTAAAACGTTTGACCGGTAGTGTATGTCGCTGGTTTGCTTTTAAAAAAAAAAAGAAAAAAAAGATGGAAATGAGTTGCATGCAATACAATTACTTATTTGATTCTACCACAAACTATACAAATACTTTTCTGGTAACATGAACATCACCTTTTCATGTTTATGAAATGTGAAATCATGCTGAATACACATACATATCTTATTTAGACAAACTTTATTGATCCACAAAGAAAATTATTAAATTATTTACATTACCTTATCATGAAAATTTGCCTTTTTCTGGTTTTATTTTTTATATATAATTTAATTCTGTTGACACAATTATTTTAACAGGCAATGTCAAATGTTCTTAAAGGGTTTCAAAGTAAAAGAATACAAAGACAGTATTTAATTTTCCACAGTTCTGTATTGAATCAAAATATAGAGAAAGCGCAGGTAAAGAGACACACAGTTTGGGGTTGGACAGTGAAGATTTATTCCAGTGAAGACACATGATTACATTATGATTATCTACTCTGTGTTGTACATGTTTAAATATACTTGAAGCATTTATTACTCTCTAATACAATAATGGACCAAAACAGAATCACGTGAACATTAGAACTGTACAGTACATGCAGAAACAATACTCACCATGTGCTACTTTTCTCCTCAAAACACAGTAAGGCATCTGGTACAAAGTCCTCCTATGTGTGAATGGAGCAAAGCACAACTCCAGGGATGCTTTGATGAGTGAACAAGATTATAACTAATATTATTATAATTATAGATGCGAAATAGCATAATATGGGCTCTTTAAATCCTATGGTGCACAATAATGTAAAGTGCATATGGGCCTATATTTACTGTGCACCTACTTAACATTTTACCATTAACTCAAAGGGGAGACCACCAGGAAAATGACTCCAGTAGATCACATTCATTTAGTCTAATCACTCTTTATTCCATTAGGCTGGTTTCATTGCTATTATATACAGCAGTGCCATTTCTCAGCAGGAGACATTTATTTCTAATCTGCACGTCTTTGTTCATTTGAGACAGGCTTATTAAATCACCCAGCCTCTCTTTGACTCTAGATTTAGCCTGCGCTCTTGAGGCAGTTTCATTCTTTGTTGCTAACTTAAATGACTAAGCTTTGTGCTAAATGGTGCAAGTGGTAAAGTGCTGTTATTGAAAAGAGAGTCAAAAAAATAAAAAATGAAATAAAAACATGTCCATTTCTCTATTGTGGGTATTTTAAAACATGTTCTCCTGCAGTTGTGCTTATTTTGCAGCTGACATCATCAGCATTGCCTGAGAGTGTGATGTTAACTGGAGGCACTGCACTGTCTAAAGTCATGTTACTCAAGTTGGACTTTAATCTGCGCTTTATTTCAACACAATAAAGAACTGTCTTGGTTGGAATTGCAACAGGAGAGATGATTTGTGCTGTTAAACAAGTTTCTAAAATAAAATCGCAGTCACAAGCTAGCCAGAATTAATCAGCAGTTTTTCCATTAGTCACTCTCAACTTTTTGTTGAAAATCAAACACCTGAACAGGACTAAAACCTTTTTTTTTTCTTTTTTTTTGGTAGTTATTGCTAATGTGTGTATTGTGTCACTATGGTAGCTGCAGAACTATTTGCCATAGACATACACGCAGAACCCTCTCAGCATGATGTGACAGCAAAGTATCAAGTATCAAGTGAAAAAATTTGATGACGCCATAATCTCAAAAGTGGGCATGGGCCTATATAACTCTATGAGAGTTTTTGAAATAAGTGTCCAAAATAGAATTCCACAAACAAACATTGGATTACTTTGTAATTATTTGTTACAAATTTGGTGGTGCCATAAATTCAACTACAAACACTTAAAGGGACAGTCTGGAATTTTGGACAAAGGACCTCATTTCCTAGTTAGCCAGAGTGTTGGAGACTTGTGGAGACATTTTTTTAAATATTTCATCCAGTCCTTGTATTTGCAGAGGTCACTGGTGCTAGACTAGTGCATGTCATAAGCCTTAGTTAGCCTGCCACTAAAAACAGTCTTACCCACTCCACAAAGCACCTGAAGCAAATCTATTATTGCGCCAGACTATCAGTGTAACTGCCTGTGTCGACAGAATAATTTTAGAAGTAAAACCAACCTTGTATTTGAAGGATTTACGTCTGAGCAGCAGCAGTGAGTTATACTTCCTGACAGAAAGCTTGGCAGTGGCGGACTGATATCACCTTACACCTATTTTACCAGCAAAGTAAAATTCCACTGCTGCTGAGAAAATATTCCCTCAACATGCGACGATTCATGCAATGCATGATTTGCTTCAGGTGCTTTGTAGAGTGGGTAAGTTTTTAGTGGCAGGCTAACTATGGCCATTGACATGCACTAGCCTAGCACCAGCGACCTCTGCAAATACAAGGACTGGATGGAATATTTTCCATCACTCTGGCTCACTAGGAAATGAGGTCCTTTATCCAAAATTCCAGACTGTCCCTTTAAGTGTTTGTAGTTGAATTTATGGCACCACTTTCTGAAGCTTTGTTTAAAAGAAAAAAAAAAAAAAAAAAACTTTGTTTATTTATGATAGTGATGTTTATGATTTCTGTTTCATGTGGACAGTCTTTGTAATAACAAGATTTTTAACCATAAACCAGGTCAACAAATTTATAATCTGACAGTTGAACAACAACTCTGTTCTACCAGTTTTGAACAATAGGGACTCGAGAATGTTTCGTGTACCTGCCTATTACGTTAAATGAGTTGACATGACCTTTTCGCGCATCTCCTATTTTGTCAAGTACCGATCTTGCATTTTTATGTGTCATTATTCCTCATCAGCTTCTTATTCATCGCAGGTACCAGTGATGCAGATGTAGGTGGCAGGGTCATTTCCATTTCAAAAGCACTGTTCCAGGAGTGTGCGCACTTAGGTACATATGTGTGAAATAGGAGCAGCTGTTTTGATAACACATAAGGTAATTGTTTCAGCAGCAGAGTGACATGTGACTGACTCTGTGGGAACTTCATCCGATATGCGCAGTGCTGATGCCATCATTTATTCATAAATGTTTGCATATTGCATTATGGGCTGTTGGTCTCGGAAGAAGCATAAAACATTCATGACTCTGTACACAACTGTAAAACATAAGTAAATATTTAGGCAGACTGCCATGTTTATACTGTACAATGTGGGTAACATTTTAATATAGATACTTTGCAGTGACATTTGGATGAGGGTGTTATACTTGTATCTCTATGGTGGAATGTTCAGCAGTTACTATGGTGACACAACGCAGACACTAACAAACACTGTCAGATAAGTTTTAAGATTGTCTGAAAACTCAAGACAAGATGCAAAATGGATTTAAACTACACTTTTTCTCAAGACTGTGATCAATACGAGTGCTTATGGTCCTGTTTAGGTGTTTGACTTTGAACAAAAAAAAGTGAGCGTGATTAACTGCCTCGTTTCTTTACTGACTGCTTCGCATAGCAACCTACATTTGGTTTGTCAATTAAAAATTATCAACAAAATTCTTAATGATCAATTATCAATTAGTCAATTAATCGTGATCATCCCTAATTGTAATTTCAGTATATGTGCGAGAAAATCAGATCACCTCTTGTAGTTCCAGCTAAATCAACTCTAGATTGTGATAAAACAAAGCTCAGATTAAGGTGTAATTTGAGTAACAGATTCTCAGACAGAGCAGTGCCTACAGTTAGCTTTACACCCCCATTGATTGTTGATGACATCAGCTGCAAAGTCTCAATATTAGGCACTTTAACCTCACTTGTTTTCCCCTCTGTTTCCAGACTATGAGCCAAATGTGGGCCTGATGCCTGAGTTCGGCCCCTTGAATCCACTCATGCCCGGTCTGGGTCTGGTACCAGATGTTCCTGTTGTCAAGGAGATCATCCACTGTAAAAGCTGCACCCTGTTCCCTCCCAACCCCAGTAAGTCACTTAACTGTACAAACTTAGCAAGAGCCAAGCAATCGAAGGAACTGTTGATGACAATTCAAAAAAAGGATTTATTAAACTCAGAGTAATAAAAAATAGAACGACACTGTGTTTTTAAAATTATAGCTTTTTACAAATAAAGACTTTTTTATCAAGAATGTTATAATATTTATTGCAGTATACATCTTGTAATAGCGTGTTGTGAAAACAAACAGTGGGATATGATTACCAAAGAAAGATTGAAGTATCTCTACAGGATCAGGAGAAGCCACTGCCCGGCCACAAGGTCTAAACAATACAAAGACATATTCCTCTTACTCCATGTACACATCTGATTGGGATGCACGGTGTATGTCTCCTGTAAAGTTATTCTGAGCGCGTGGACTCCAGACTCCAGCACAGACTGAGAGGATGTAGAGGGGATTATGCTGAACTCCCCTTTGGCCTGAAACATGTCTCTGTCAGGTGTCAGTGAATGGCTTTTGTGGGTGAAATCTTTTACGAGTAAAGGCAGATTACATATAACAATGCCACTGAAATGTTCTCTTTCTACTTTTGCTGTGCCACCTTCCTGGAAAGACATACTTGAAACATTGTCTAAGTAAGATTAAACAGTGTAGTGAGAAAATGGCAGTGGTGGAATATTGAAAATGTATGCACAAGGAAAAGTATAATCATGGTTAAAAATTTACTCAATTCCAAGTGCAAGTACTGCTGAAAAATGTATAGTAAAAAGTATAAGTGAAAAATTCTACTCAGAGTACTAATTACTGTCATTTCAAGTTTAGAAGCCTTTAATCAGTAGATATACTTAGGTGCACTGTGTACCTTTTCGGTTGGGGGGTCCAGCACTTTCTTGTTTCTATAGATATGTCATTGCTTTGCTTAGAATGCTCCACAATATGACGTTAAACAGATCTACTTTACATTTATTCAGCTGCAGGTGGTGTTATAGCTCAAAAATACCTAGAAAAACTGACATTCTGATTATGAATGGGGTTGCCTCTCCATAGTTCTGATCTGTAACTTGGTCTGGTTTGGTCTCCATGAAGACAGAAAGGTTGAATGCCATACTGTGAAACATTCCAGACAAAGCAATAACCATCTCCATGAAGAAAAGCTATTTTCTTACACAATGCACCTTTAATATATTGTACAAACTCATTCCAAACTTTAACTGTGGGTTTCTCTATAATTATCAGTCCTGTCAACACAAAATAAAAACTGTAGTTATCCTGACACCCTGCTGTCCACCTGTCTATGTTTTCAGCAAAATGGTGAAGAGGGAGCTGAGCGGAAAGGCAAAGCTCTTGATTTACCGGTCAATCTACATTCCTACCCTCACCTATGATCATGAGCTTTATGTAATGACCAAAAGGACAAGATCGCGGATACAAGCAGTCGACATGGGTTTCCTCTGCAGGGTGGCTGGGCGTTCCCTTAGTGATAGGGTGAGGAGCTCAGTCACATGGGAGGAGCTTGGAGTAGAGCTGATGCTCCTCCACATTGAGAGGAACCAGTTGAGATGGCTCGGGCATCTGTTCCAGATGCCTCCTGAGCGCCTCCCTCGGGAGGTGTTCTGGGCATGTCCCACCAGGAGGAGGCCCCGGGGAAGACCCAGGACTCGCTTGAGGGACTATGTCTCTCGGCTGGCCTGGGAACACCTCGGGGTCTCCCCAGAGGAGCTGGAGGAAGTGTCTGGAGTAAAGGAAGTCTGGGAGTCCCTGCTTAGACTGCTGCTCCCGCGACCTGGCCCCAGATAAGGAGAAGAAAGTGGATGGATGGATGGATGGATGGTAGAAGAATCAAATTGAAAATCAAAATCTGTCAATATGGGGAAAACAAAAAATAAAACTAATGCTAGAATTATAGTCAATTACATGTAAAAATAAAGTTTTAAAAATCTACTCAAAATGTACTCAATCACAGTAACATGAGTAGTTACTTTCCATCCATAGTTAATGGGAGTTCTTATAGCCAGTGTCAAAAGAGAATGTGCACATAGAATTCAAGCTGTGAATAAAGCAATCACACAATGGTCAGCCCAGGAGCAATTCACAGTATGGATGTATATAAAGAGCAGCCCAGAGAACAGGCGCTGATTGCAGTCTTTGAAAAACATGTAGAAATCAAGCATCCCCGTCGCATTCAGCAGGCACCAGAAATCTACAGTATACTCACATTAGACTTGGATTTCCATTGGCTGAATACCAAAAGTGGATCTAAACAGAATTCTGCTAGTTCTCATTATTCATGTTTTAAGAGTGACCTGTTGTGCTCACTGTGGGTTCACTTCCTGGCCTCGATTGTTTGGTGAATGTCCGTTACCATGGAAATCCACTAAGTTTCTGCCAGTAGTGCAATAAGGGGGATACACTAAGCAAAAAAATGAAACAAAAGTGTGATGGAGCAACCCCATAAACAGTTGGGTCACTACTGTAAATATATGTATCGTTTTATAGTGTCAATATTTTTGATGGACAAAGTTTTGAACGTTTTTTTAATTGAAAGTTGTTAAGCTACATTGGTTTAACATTTGGCTAAAAAAAAAAAAAAAAAAAAAAAAAACATGTTTCAGACCTTTCTTTTTTTTTTTTTTTTTTTGATGTTCTAAGTTTTTCTTTCAGCAGAGATGTAGCCTGTCAAATCCTTTTTTTTTTCCAGATCTCCCCCCTCCAGCCACCAGGGAGCGCCCTCCTGGGTGTAAGACGGTGTTTGTTGGTGGTTTACCAGAGAATTCCACGGAGCAGACCATTGAGGAGGTCTTTGGTCCATGTGGAGAGATCATCGCCATCCGCAGAAGCAAGAAAAACTTCTGCCACATTCGCTTTGCTGAGGAGTACACCGTGGACAAGGCTCTTTTCTTATCCGGTAGGCTAAGTGTTGTGAACAGATTGTGACTTTTTTTTTCTTGCTAGTTTGTCTGTTTAAAAAAAAAAAAAAATCCTATTCATGATATAGAGGCTGGCTCTAGATTCTGTCCTGTAACCACTAGCACCGTGAGTTTCATTTGAGTGGAGATGAACTCCATGGGTGATGTCACACTTGCTTAGTCCACTTTTTTATGCAGTCTAGGGTCGTACTCCATTTTTTTTTACCATGTTTTTTGAGCAAAACTTGTCTTACTCCAAAACAAGCAGCTCTTGAGGTCAAATACGTCCGCTGTGTACTGTCTGCATGTAATTACAAAGTGTTTATAATGCCTTGACACCGCTCTGGCCTCAGAAGTTGTGAAAAGTGCTAATAAACTTTGCTGTGTATAATTAAGATGCTCTGAATGCATGAGGTAAATGAGGAATAAGTTTGGAGCAAACCCTTCAAAATGAACTAGTTTTGTTTCAAGTACAGTGCCTTTAAATATTAGGATTGTTGCTAGTATGTAACTGTGACCAAGCATATAGGTCTAGATAGATAGATTTTTTTAGATTTTTTTTTCCCCTCAAAAAAATGCTCTGTGTGCCAACATAGTAGCCACAAACACAATTATTCAATCTTATTTACTTTAAATTGTACTTTCTGCAAGAGAGCCCTGAATCTACATTTTCATCATTGTTTATTGTAATTTTCATGGCTTTTGTGAAGTTCCATAGAATTCCTGTGTCCACCCATTGTTCAGTCTTTGATCCTTTCAGCAAATTAAGTCATTATAAATTCACTTTGGTGCAGACAAAAGCAGTGTTGAGATGGCCAGGCTGTAATTAGCAGTTCTGCACTAGTTTACTGCCGCAAGAGACAAGCTGATCTTTTTCAGAAGTAGGCTCATACATGTAAGTGTGGAGGGTCCAGGAGGACAATGGTGAACAATGGGTGAGAGAAGCATGATAAGCTTCTTAGTGTATACTTTTGGATTCACACTCATTTATTCTTGGCTTGTTATTCAGTTGAATCTAATGCTTAGCCTCAGGTCTGTTTACTTGGCAGCAGAGCAAACTATGGTGGCTCTAATCATTTTGTTATACAGTATGTCCTTAGGTTCCATCCATCTAAATTACAACATGCATTCAGTTTTATAAATCTGATTTTTACAGTTTTAATTCACTGCTGTGATAAATATGTATGTATATATACACATATATACATTGTCCAAACTGTTGAGCTCTGGTAAGTCTAGTCTTTTTTAGTACAGAGGGATATCAGTCTGGTCATCACCCATATCTGTTGTGTCTTAAGCCAAATTCAGACAGAACCGTGCAGATCTGTTTATTTCAGTGATGCAAAGTCATCTATCATTTTGAACAAGAGTTTGGCGCTTCACTCAGTGATTCTGCACAAATTCACTAAAATGTTTCATTCCATTGTGATATTTTTTCCTTTCCTTCTTCCTCATAAACAGCCATATTTGTTTTTATATGGATGGACCATGTGTGTCCCTGATTGGCTAATCGACAATCAGATTCACATCTGGAGGAGCGTGTATTCTGGTTCACAGGAAAGCTCTGCGGCGAAGAGGAGTGCAAACCCTTCACCAATCATGATGTCCTCATTAAACTGCACTGTGGAGCATCGCAATCTTGTTAATACTTACAGCCAAACACCAACATTGTGTCTTAAACATTTTACTCACATACAAAATACAACTCTCCACAGGTTACCGCATCCGCCTGGGTTCCAGCACAGACAAGAAGGACAGCGGGCGTCTCCACGTGGACTTTGCCCAGGCCAGAGACGACTTGTACGAGTGGGAATGTCACCAGCGCATGTTAGCCCGAGAGGAGAGGCACCGACGCAAGATGGAGGAGGATCGACTAAGACCGCCTTCTCCTCCTCCCATCGTCCACTACACCGACCACGAGTGCAGCCTGCTGGGGGACAAGATCAAAGGTCTGTGACTGTAGATGGCTGGTGTTCGGGTAAAAGTAGGCCTAGATGAAGCTTTGTTTTGCGCTTACTCTCAACCCACATACTAGTATGGTGCCTTTGTATTTGATGAAAATCTGGAGAGTACAATGAGAACAGAGAATAGAAAAAAAAAAATCTGTTTGTCATTTTGGCCCATGCAATGTTTATTTGTTTGACTTTATATAAGACTAATGGTCTTTACTCTCCAAATACTTCCTTTGCTGTATACCACCTGACCTGTGTCTTCTCTCCTGCATGTGTGTTCCAGATGATGTGAAGTTTGCCGAGGCTGTCCGGGTGCTCCTGACCTGGCTGGAGCGAGGTGAAGTCAATCGCAGAAATGCCAACAACTTCTACTCCATGATCCAATCGTCCAACAGCCACATCCGCAGACTGATGAGTGAGAAAGCCCAGCATGAGAAGGAGATGGAGGAGGCCAAGGAAAAGTTCAAGAGCGCACTGGCTGGGATACTGGGCCAATGTGAGTTATTTGTGCACAGACACATTGACGGTCTATTCTAGACACTGTAGTGTATGTGTATTCAAAATCATGAATACTTGTTGGTAACACCTTATAATAACTACACTTAATGTCTAATTCTAACCTCAGATAGTTACTAAGCCTTTATCAGTCTTAAACTATTTCTTACGTATGTATGTTTCTTATCAGGATAAAATGTGATAAAAAATTGTGTTCAGACACAAAAGCTCTTTTACTCTGACCACAAATGCAAGAATTCCTTTTTGTTGTATCCTAATTTCTAATGTAAACTAAACCCAATAGAGCTTGATATGAAACGTCAAAAATGGAAAGTTACGTTATGGAAATCTGCCACGTTTTGTTTGTAGGAGTGCAAAAATATATATGAGCCAAAACAATGAAATGAGTAAACAATTCAAAGTGGAACAGTCTGATAAACTGCTGAGCCACTGGTAAATGCATCAGTCACTCTATAGTGTTGGAGAAATTAAAGCTAGTATTTGGCATGTAAAAATCTCCATTGGTTTAACTGAAAATTCAGGTGTGACGTCATAATCTCGAGCCTATCGATCTATAGGCCAAGGTAAGTCATTTTTATCTCTGTAACAACCCCTCACCAAACTAGATCAGCCTAACTCTGTAAGAGATAAATAATAGATGAACTAAAAAAGAGATAGCAAAGCCAAGGTGAGGTTGAACATGCTTAGAAAGTTGTTTTCATCTGAGAAAAATCCAGAGGAAGCAGACTGCTCCCACACCTCTGACAGCTCTCAGTGCAGCTGCACAGCCCACGGCATTTCAACTCCACCACTTCAACACATGCATGTGAATAGAACGCAAAAATAATTTCAAGTGCGTATGACAGATTAGACTAAACTAAAACACAGGTAACATAACTATATTTAAAAGTGTACTAAAAATCTCGCCTAGTTTTTTTTATTTTTTTTCATTTTGGTAAAGTTATAATTTTACTGCTTGGACCTGGGCAGCAGACATGACATACTAAGAGGGAATACCATAACTGTTACCTGGCAACTATAATGTCAAGAAGGGCCAAAACTTGATAAAATAAAGGTCTAAAATGTCAGAAAAACACCTTCCTTTCTTGTCCATTGTCCGTGTTGATTACGTTTTTTCCAACAGTATTCTGTTTTAGAACTTAGAGCTACTTCCTGTATTTTTATACTTTTCTTGTCCACCTTTTTTTTTCACAAACCACCACTTAGATGATGTACTTAACCTTGATAAATATTCACCACAGGTGCTATCCCACCAAACCAAGTATAAAAAAAAGCCTTGAAAACCTGTCATTTGCACTTTAAGGCATAGGTGAAGCAGTACATTTTTATGTGTCTTTTGTGTTTCCTCCATAGCGTAAATATATAAGCTCAGTTGTAGCCATCAGCACAGAGGGTGTCTATAATGGCCATGCTTCTCTTCTCAGTGTTCGTCATTGATTGGAACCATCAAATTACTTACACGTTTCTGGGAAGATACTATTGATCCTGCAGTGTTCTTTCCCTCACTAAATGCACTGTTTCACTATAAACTGCTGTTACTCACTGGTGACACTTCCCTCCTCCTCCCTATGTGATCACTATTAGATCATACAACAGTGCAGGCATTAATTATAACTGTAATAGTGACATTTGTAAATGTGTCAGCTCTTTTGAACGTTTCCTTAATGTGAACGGTTGGAAACGGATCTAATTTTTTTCCTAGTTTTTATGTATTTTTATACAGATTAACCCTGAACCAACTCAAAGATCAGCACAGAAATGGAGTAGCAACATGAGTGAGAGCTTTGTGCACAAATTACAATTAACTTACTATTGTACTGCAACATTTTATGTAGATAATTTCAATGGGTAAACCACACTCCCAATTTCAGTTTGAACCATTTCTTCACCTTGGTCATTTCTGTCTGTGATAGATTTGCTTTTTTTTAAACAGTTCTCACATAGGGTTCTGTCATATAAGTGAATAGAAAAAGAGCAGAAACAGTTCTGTCAAATGACCTGATATAAAAGATTCGGATTCATAAAGGAGCCAAAAGAACCCATCAAATTGTAATGTTCTTCAATTTCTCAGTTAACTAACTAGGAAACTTTATATCCATACATACTCTCTTGCATCTTCATGGTTTGAGCTGCTTCAGGTTCATCCTTCATACTTTGAATTCAACAGCTCAGATGAAACTATGACTCAATTTGTTTTGCATTATATTTATATGATCTATACAAACAACTGCACAACACTCCCATTACTCACCAGAGTAACCAGACCTGTGTTTGCATGTTTGGCGGTGTGTGTATGTGTGTGTGGGTGTGTGTGTGTGTTTGAACAGAAAACAGCATTCAGGCAAGTTTTATCTTCATAGGTAGGTCTGTAATACTTATAAGAGAGTAAAGAAGCAGCCAATGTAACCATGACTCACCATATAATCATACTTCATCAAATATGGAGGGAGTACAGGGAGAAGCAGTATGTGGTAAGTATAGCATAAGATGCCTTCAACATAGGTACTTAAAAAGTGCATCAGGTTGTTGACTCCAGTCTCTCACACTCTGCTCCTTCCCACCTGCCTCTGTCTCCTGCCCCCCTGTGGATGCTCTCTGCCCCCTCCTGCACCTCCACAGTTGAACAGATTGTGTCTGTATTCCAAGCTGCTTCCAAACAAAAGGCATGGGACCATTTCTCCAAAGCTCAGCGCAAGAACCTGGACGTTTGGCGCAAGCAAGCACAGGTTAGTACACCTTTTGTTCACACATGCTTTAAAATTATGTGCTTTGGTTCCATTAGTCTATAACTGCTCATAGCTATTATACAAACTGTTTGAAAAAAATTAACAATCCACTGACTGATCAGTAGTTACAATTGTTCATTACAAAAAAAAAATACAAATAAATCTGCCTCTTACTGCCCGTCTCCCTGATGGCCCCATACAAGCTGCTGGGTGAGTTAAATCAATAGGGAAAAAACATTCACATTCACGTATTGACAAAATGAAGCATGACAAGAGGTTGCACTGTGACTGAGTGTTTTGAACTGGGTTCAAATGGACCATTTATCTGCTTGGTAAGTCCCTTATGTCATCATGTCTGCTTTTGGTATTCATCCAGCTTGAGTAGAATCACATTCATCATTTTAAGGTAAGGTGACTGATGTGCCTAAATCTGTTGGGGAATTTTGTTCTCAGCTTCAGTGATTATTTTCTTAACACATCTAAGATTGTTGTGCCCATATGTGCGGTTATTACTCAACAGTTCGTCATTGTGTTTGAAGTAGAAACCGTTGTTCAAGAGAATTTTTATCAGGCCCACGGGAACTTTTAGTTGTCCAGATGTACAGTACTTCAAACACAGTCTGAGCGCAAATAGGCTATAAGTTGTCTGCTGTGTCTTGTGTTCCAGGAGTTCAGAAACATGCACAATGAGCAGCTGATGGGTATCAGGCGAGAGGAGGAGATGGAGATGTCTGATGATGACATGGAAAGTCCCTCCAACAGCAAACACTCAGAGGAATCAGGTCTGAATTTATCACATTTGACAGTACTTTACAAAGACCAGTCTTGAACTCTATCCAGGGTCACTGATTTCCAATGGCTATGATTTACCAATCAGAGAAATGTGTCAAAACAAACATGGTGAAAAAAGGGTGAAATAAAACTTTGAGAGGAGATGTTTTCCTCATTTGAGAGACATGTGCCAAAAATTAGCAACTGTGGTTGGACTGTCCCAAGTAATTTTATTCTACTCTTTAACTATTTTGCAGCCCCATAAAAGTCCACTGCTCCTTTTATTTTAACTTTTTAATAACAGTGTCGCGCTGTCCTCAGTACACACGGTTTTGACAATTGAACATGTAAGGTCATCTTTCATCTAGAGTTTCACGCCTCTCTGCTTGTTATTATGCTTCCTTTACAAGCTCCTTTTAATCATTCTGATCTTTGCCATGGGCTAATTTGACAGCTCTGGTAATCAACATGCAAATGTATGTAAATGCAGTCAGAGCAGCCCTTCCCTGGTGCCACCTCACTATACTGTGATTAGCTTTGCTGTCACAGGCCTGTCAATCTGCAGCTGCAACACAACCGGACACAGTGAAGCTGATGTTTGTGTCAAAAGCCAAGTGTTACACCATACTGCTGTTATGATGACCATAGGCTAGACACTAATTTTTCATGTGCAGACAGAGTGGAGGTGACCAGGTCTTTGTTAGCTGTTTACACTGCTGCATCAGTCAGAATTGCTGGCTGTTATGTAACAAAATTTGTGCAAGACACTGAGCTCATATTTTAGCTTATATTTTACATATTTTTTCCCACAGTTTTTAAGTCTAATGAATATATCATCACATACCAATTGTCTCTCCTGAGATAGATTTCTGGCAAGGCAATACCATTCCTAGTAGATAGTAGATTTAAGATGTTGGCAATGTTACAAAAGTCCTCAAATATACGCAAAATTAGAACATCTACTTGACAAAATGTGTTTAATTGGACAATAATATTACTAATGATAATTGCAATAATCAAGATCAGAAAGCTTTATCACTTCTGTTGGTCTGTTTTAGTTGCGTCCCAAGCCGAAGCCTTGAAGGAGGAGAATGACTCTTTGCGCTGTCAGCTGGACGCCTACAGGAACGAGGTGGAACTCCTCAAACAAGAACAGAACAAGAATCAGCCCCAGAGAAGTGAAGAAGAGAATACGCACTCACAGCAACTCAGCTTCCTCCAGCAAGCTCTGCAGGGCATGCAGACGGTACATACACATATGCATATGCACACACACTGCACATACACACTACACACATGATACAAGCTCTGCCGGGCATGCAGACGGTACATACACATATGCATATGCACACACACTGCACATACACACTACACACATGATACAAGCTCTGCCGGGCATGCCCACGGTACATAGCCGACCCACACACACACTACAGACACAAACACACAACACAGGAATGCAGACGGTACAAATTCTCCACATATTTTTTTTTTTTTTTGTAATGTATTAACATTTAAGCTGCAGAAGATTGAGTAATTAACTCCAATGACTCATTATAGACAAACTACTAGTAACAAACTAGTAACAAACTACTTCAGTTGTGTTATTTATTTATTGCATCTCATGGTTTCAACAACATGCTGGGGTTATCCTGCTTTAGCTATTGGTTAAGTTCTTGTTTCAGTGTCATAACGTACTTTCATATGTGGCACTTTAATATGTGTTATTGTGAAAGGCCTATGCACACAGCCCATTCACTACACATGAGCTTAGGTTATGAATGATAGGATTCTTAACACATATTAAGACATTTTGTATGACTCTGAAAATGGTCACAGACAGGCGATATCATGAAGAGTTTAATCCAAGTTCTTACTCAATTTCAACCAAGCTCTCTTTAAGACCAGGGTCAGTCAGGTGAACCCATTGCGTTTCTCAGCCCGATTTTGAAATAGCTCAGCTCTCTTTTATTCATGACCAAGTGCTCAAAAATCTATCTGAGGAGTGCAGCTGTCTGGGGCTGCTCTTAACCTCATCTTAGAAGAGGCTCAGGAATATTTAAAGCTGTAGTCCAGTTATAGAAGGGGTGTACCATCAAGGCATGAATATAAAAAATATATACAAAGCAAAGAGACTGGTACTTAATGCAGTGAGATTGGTGCTATTAGACTGAGCCATCATAAATACTATTCAGGTTTGGAATATTGTAACTTTGTGTGTGTGTTTGGTTTATGAAGGTATTTAGTATATTCAAGTATATTCAAACTTGCAGCAAAAAGTACTTCTAGTGATAATTTTGGTCAGGTCACCTGGAGGGTTGATGGCAATCACAAATGTATCTGATGGCTGGACTGTAGTTAGAACTGCCCAGTGGTATCGGAAACTCATACTTCAATGGAAAGCTTAAAGGGCCCATATTATGCAATATTCTGATCTATGTTAAACTTAGACAAACTTCATTGATCCACAATGGGTATTATTTGGACACAGTAGCTCGCACATCACAATATACTCTAATAACAAAGAGCAAAAATATAAATGGTAATAATACATTCTAATTTTTGTTTCCTCATCAAAAACATACCTGGAGTTGCGTTTTGTTTCATTCACACATAATTAACACACAAACCCTGCATATTTATGTTGCAATACAGCAAGGTCTTAGGTCTAGTAACTCGGAGAAATTATCAGGGCAGCATTTTGTGCATTTACGTTTTAGATATTTCATGACAAATTGCATTGTAATCAATAGGAAAAACTGGCTCTTGACAACCATTTGGGATATTGACATTATCACATCCCAGAATCCGCAAACCACCAAAACTCCATACACTTTACACTACACTACATACACTAGTATCCTTTGGAAAGTTTCAATCCTGGAATTTCCTATCTCTACTGATGAAAACAAAGAAGCTAGCAGTTAACATAAAAGACAAACTTCTGCTTCATGGCATCAAGTTGGAACAGATGGGACCAAGTCATTTGCAAGTCTCAAGTAAGTCTCAAGTCTTTGACCTCTAGTCCAAGTCAAGTCCCAAGTCAAATACAGGCAAGTCTAAGTTGAGTCTCGAGTCACTGGCTTGTAAGTTTAAGTCAAGTCCAAGTCGTCTGCTTTGAGTTTCAAGTCATTTCAATAGCTTAGATTTTTGCAGTTTATTTGACTTTTAAATTGAATGTCTTAATAAGATCTTACAGTGAATCATTACAGTCAGAATAGAACAAATGCAGATTTAAATGTGCTTCTCAAGTCTTCCTAAGTCATAGGGCTCAAGTCCTAGTTGAGTCCCAAGTCTTAGTTCATTTTACCAAGTCAAGTTTCAAGTCCTAAAAATAGAGACTCAAGTCTGACTTGAGTCCAAGTGACAACTTGCAAGTCCCCATTGCTTCAGACTGACAATAAAAATGATTATGCAAACATGTGTGAATGAGACAAAAGACAACTCCAGGTATGTTTTTAATGAGGTAACAGGACTGTAACATGTCTTAAAGCTTAATATAGGACCTTTACAGACCAGATCAGTTGTTTGTTATGATTCACATTGATGAAACACAGGTTCTGGAACAAACCCAAATGGAAGAAAATAACTATAATTTTAGACAGATGTTTGAACAAACTGAATAAAATGCAAGATGTTAAATTTCCAATGCAGAAAGATAAGCCCTCTAATTGAGGTGACATTGTAGCTCAAAGCAAATTTGTTAAAATTACATTACTGTTATTTAAACTTTCCCAAACACACAAAACAAGCACAAAAACTTTTATTCTCAGTGCAGTTAATTACTGCTCATTTACAATATATCTTTTCTTTATTGTAAATTAAAGCCACCATTCACTTTTTTTTTAACCAATATACGAGAGATTCTAATTAACGTGAAGTGCTTTTTACCACTCTCAGAGACTCGAGTGGTGTTTTGCAATCACGGTGAAGCCAACAACAACAACTAAAATGCTAACGTGCCCTTCCTGATTATCGAACAAGAAAACACTTTAGAATTAAATGCAGACAGCCCTCAGCAGACTTATTTTGACCTCAAGAGCTGTTAATACAATATATGTGTACTGGGGTAAGGCAAATATTGCTCAAATACATAGAAACAAATAGGGTATAGAGCCTTTAATGAAAATGCACCCAGAATATTGAACTGTGGTGGATCAAAGTGCTTTTTATATTGACTGGCATCTGTTTCTGTTGATGCAGCAACTCTTAAAAATGCGAGAGGAGTTGAAACAGCGTGAGTCAGATCTGGAGAAAAGTTCGGATGACAAACAGCACCTGAAGAAAGAAGTCCAGACTCTGAAGGAAGGACTTCAAAAACTACAACATCTGAAAAACACACATGAAATACAGGTGGGTCTAAAAAGTATAAACATTTCTAACATGTTCTAACTCCCAGCTGTAATAATTGGGGTATATCCAACAATCCAAAATAAAAATTAGTTTGCAGCATGATGTGTACACAGGCAAACAGAAGAAAGTGCTGCACTAAAATCCATTTGATAAAAGAGGAGTCCCACTGTGAACTGCACTCTCCGGTTCATATCATCTCTTCACAGTAATCAAATTTTGCTCACACTAAAACTGGCAGCAATTCAACATTTAACTGGCTCTTCAAACAAAAACTAGACGACGTCCTTTCTACTAACTTTGTAAGTGTGCAACATTGACTTTCAGGCTTCCGACCGAAAAGCCACAATTGGAAGATTAATATAAAAAATTTGCATATCAACTATTCAGTCTGGCGTCTTTTAGTGTAGCTGACCGTATATTTTCCATAAATTTCTCCTATAGACTTCAAAAAATAAAATAAAATCAAATATTAAAAGTTCAAAGGTATTGCAAAGGCTAACCAGCTATGTAGTAAGGCTAGAAACCACAATCATTTTCAAATTTTTCACATTTAATTTTATTGATTTATTTATTTATTTTATTTTATTTTTTTAAATCTATAGGAAAAATATAAATGAGAAATTTACTTGCAGAATCTGGGAGTGGGACACTGTTGACCACCATAAGCAGAGAAACATGCACAAAAAAATTACTATTATAGACTGTAGAGTAGGGCTGTAACGATATCCAAATCTCACGGTACGATATTATTATGATATGCATCTCACGGTACGATATTTATTGCGATATTTTGGTGAACCTAATAGTAGTGTAGATAGGACACTTACTGCTTTTAAAACACCTTGACAAGACTTTGATGCAAATCATTTCTGTCATAATCCCCATAATCCCAAAAATTCAAGTAAAAAAACATATTTCTTCATGTTGTCTGCACTGAAATGAATCGTGGGATATGTAATTACTTTGTTTATTAACGGTTGCTACTATAAAACCACGCATTTAATCATAAAAAATCGTAAATTGATATATTGTGGCAGCCCACGATATTATTGTGAGACTTTTGATGATACGATATCACGATATTTTGGTTATTGTTGCATTCTTACTCTAGACATTCACACGTGTTATTTCAACACTATTTTACTGAAATAAAAGAAAAGTGTTTTTATTACTTCACTATAGTGGTTTTAAACTAGCTTTGTCATGTTGTAAACGTCTGGTGTTTTGCCTCGTTCTTAATGTTCTTTATATGAATGGAAACCAGCTCCGGGTACAACTGTCTATTAAATTGGATAATGACTAAATGACTAAAGATTGCGTGTGACATCAGTCTGGGACACTTAATGCTGCAAAGCCTCTGGTGAATCTGTAATTACATTTGGAGTGGTGTCATTGTCGGAAGCATAATAAAGATCCACCTGTTTGTGATTTAATGGAATTAATGTAGCAAATTGTTTTACATGTGTGAAATATAAAATAATATTAGTACGCAAGGAATAATTATGGGGAAAATGTATTTGTGTAAAAGGGATGGCTCCACATATTTGATATTCTGAGCCCCCAAAACCCTCCAAATAATTAGATATATAACATTGCAACATAGCTCATACTTTTTTTTTTTGTAAAGTTGCGCTTTTGTACTGTAATAAATACCTCCTAAAAATGACTAACCTATCAGCTTGTGATACGCTTGTGAATGAAAATTAGATTAGACAACCTGGGGGCATGTATAATCCATCATAACAAATATGGCTAGTTACGAGGAAAAAAAAAAAAACATTGCAAATTTCTCTTTAAGTACATTTTAAATACATTTTCAAAAAGGTACTTTAATACTTTTTATTTAAGTAGATTTTTCTTGTGATACTTTAACTTTTTTTTTTTTTTTTGCTCTGTATCTTTTGGTCCAGTATCTTTACTTTTACTTACTACAACTGGTATTAGTCAACTAATTATTTTATTTTGTTAGTAAATATGTATATGGGACAACAGCAGAAAGGAGAATTCAGTGAGTGAGATATCTAAAGATTTTACACTTTTAGGTATTTAAATATAAAAGGACAGTTTAAACTCATGATTCACAAGCTTATATAAATACATTATTTAAATAAATACATTTTTTCCTAGTACTTTTTTCTGCATAAATAGTTGTTGGAATAGTTGAACTCCAGTGCAGGTGTAGTCTTGCGAGTGCAGTTTGGGTCAGATACATAGAGATATAATTGTTTTGAGAGCTTTGCCTCACCACGTTTTTAATTAACTAATCAATTGGCATATGACGGCATTCTTTTAATCAAGCAAGTATTTCTTTATTTGACTACATCCCCATCCCTAGTGACCAGAGTGTTATTCCTGTGTACATAAAATACAGAGAAATAGAGTCTGCCAAGTATAATTATTAACTTGGAATATTCACTGACTTGGAATATTCATTCAATAGCCATGCTGTAGTTATTATTGTTTTAAATTATCATTATCTCAGAACAAATATGTGTGTCTGTGAGCCCCTCCTCTGTCTGTGTAAATGAGCTGGTTTCACTGTGTCTTTCCCTCATATGTTTCTAATGTACTGCAGCTGGAGACGTCTCAGGAACAAGCCAGAGGCCCAGAGGAGAGCACTGATCAAACCGCTGTAAGTTCTGTCTCCGCTCACGACTTCCTCCATGACAGCAGAGGGCAGTCAAGTTCACAGTGCATTATAGAATGTATACAATATTTTGTAATGTTTAAAGGGCCCATATTGTGCTATTTTCCGATCTATGTTATAATGCTGTTTCCTCATCAAAAACATGCTTGTCTTGTTTCAGTCACATACACAACATACAAACCCTGCATATTTAGGATCTTGCAAACAGAAAACACTCTGTTCCACCTTGTGATATGTGATTACCAAAAAGGTTGCTTTTATTTAGTAAAATACTGTTTCATGACATCACGAGGTAGAACAGAGCATTTTGAGCTTTGGAGATATAGACAGACTAATAATTACTCAGACATGTGTGAATGGAACAAAACACAACTCCAGGTACGTTTTTGATGAGGTAACAGCATTATAACATGGTTGAAAGCTCACAAGTGTCAATTTTGTGTAATATGGAAGCTTTAAAAAGACTCACAATACAATACACATATAACTAAGTACACTCATGATACTATTCATGCCATATTTTCTCAGATAAAAGTAGAAAACGGCTCTATAAAAACCTAACTCTAACTAATGCTATACAGATAGTGTTTAGAAATGGCGTATTGATAGTGCAATTAAATAAAATGCATTATTTTGTGACAATTATCTCAGTTTCATTTACCTGTTGATATGGATGCTGAGCTGATTCAGACTTTTTTATTTTAATTTATTAATTTTTATTTATTTTTTTAATGCAGGAAGTGTTTGTAGCGTCCACGGTGGCGTCGTACAGTCAGGAGAAAGAAGGTCCAACAGAGAGAAGTCCACAGAGTCCTGTCCAGTCTGAGAGAGAGGCTCTGCTAGTCGGTGAGATCATGTCATCTAAACATGACCCAAATAGTGATGTGATGTTCGTGAACCAGACAGCTCTTTTATAATAATCATGATAATAATAATACATTGGTTTTATATACTGCTTTTCACTGTAACTCAAAGACGCTTCACAATGGTGTAACACAAAACAAGGACAGACAAAAGAAGCAGTGAGGAAGCGGTCATTAGTGGGGGTTATCCGCTATGAGGAAAAGGTGAGTTTTGAGCTGTTTTTGAAGCTGTTTAGTGAGTCTGAGCTTCTGATGTGAAGGGGTAGAGAGTTCCAGAGGGTGTGGGCAGTGATGCTGAAGGCTCGGTGCTCGGTGAAGTATGTAGGGGCCTGGTTATGGAGGGCTTTGTAGATGATCAAGAGGATGCTGAAGTTGATGCGCTGTTGGATGAGGAGCCAGTGGACTTGGAGAATAGGGGTGATACGGTCTCGTGAGTGGGTGTGGGTGAGGAGGCGGGCAGGTGTCAGAGTTCTGATCATATTGAAGTTTTTGAAGGTCAGTGGAGGAGGCTGTTGCAATAGTCGAGTCTGGAGTTTCAGCAGCAGAGGGGGAGAGAGAGGGGTGGAGGCTGGAGATGTTGCGGAGGTGAAAGAAAGCAGTCTCGGTGATGTGCCAGATGTGGGGATTGAAGGAGAGCGTGGGGTCAAAGATGAATCCAAAATTTCTGATCTGAGATGACAGAGTGATTGTGTACCTGTCTACGGTTAGAGTGAAATTGTGTACAGAGCGAAGGAGAGTTTTGGGACAGATGATGATGGTTTTGGATTTGTTGCAGTAGAGTTTGAGAAATTTGATGGTCATCAAGAATTTTATGGCAGAGAGGCAGTTTGAGGGGGTCGAGGTCATAGCAGGTAGTGATGGTTTTGGTGGAGAGATAAAGTTGTTTTGAATCTAATTTTTTAAAATAACCAAATCTTTTTATTTCAGATTTTATTCTGATGAACGCTAAACCAACACAAGAATCAGATCACCATAATTTCTGGATTATTGAGCTCACCTGAATATAAGCCGCATCAACAAAATTTTAACACAATTTTTTACATATATAGACCGCACCTGACGATAAGCCACAGGTGTCCACATTTTCAAGAACGTTTTCAAGTTCAGACCATCTGCCTTTATTGTCTCTGAAAGTTTTTGTCATCCTTTTGCTTTGAGTCACTTTGTAACGCTGTCGTCACCAAAATCTAACCATCGACTCATTGATGCCAAGCTCACGTGCAGCAGCTCTGTTTCCTTCTTTGACAGCCAGATCAGTCGCTGTTAACTTAAAAGCTGCATCTGCATTTCTTCATGTGTTTTCCATGATGAAGGTGTGCGCATGAAACACAAAATAACTGTTCAAAACACAATCAAACTACAATCTTCCTTGGTGCATCACCCTATCTCTCTCCCTGTGCTCTACTGCGCATGTCTCCTGCAGAAAGAGCTTCTGTCCTGTCTGGGACAGTGGGGTTTGTAATGATATCCAAGTCTCACGATACGATATTGTCACGGTATTTATTGCGATATCATGGGAAAGCTCACGATATGGTGGGGAGGCTCACAATTAGGGATGTAACAATATCCAAATATCTAAGTGATATTTTGTGGAGGCTGCAAACAAAGCTGTTAATATGTTACTTTTTTCCACTTAAAATGCCTTGATAAGACTTAATTCAAAGACTTAAAAGTGCCCAGAACTGGTTCTTCTTGTAGTATACACTGAACTGGAGCAAATGATTATGGTCTATGTAGTTATAGTAGTTATGTAGCACCATAACTCTTAATTTAAGCAAAGAGACTTGTAATTCAATATATTGTGATGGTCCTCGATGTTATTGTGAGAACTTTGACGATACTATAGCATGATTTTTCTCGCCATTTACGATGCACCCACCTGCATATAACGCATATGGGTAAGATGTATCACACTCACTAATGTTAATTTAGCATTATAACTTTTATCACACGGCGATAAACTGTTTGAGTGTGTTGACAACATTGTATAAGATGCAGGGTTCAAAGTGTGAGAAAAAAGCATCTTATAGTCCGGAAATGACGGTACTTAGATGCAATAGTTAGTGGTTTTGTCCCAGTTATTGTTATCCTGAGTTGTTATGATTACTGTCACAGCACTCTGATCGTTGTGAAAAGAGTGTGAGGAATAACTATGGATCACTGCAAACCACTTAAACTGAACTAGTTCTGTTGTTCATACTTTTAAGATAGTTAAAATCAGGTACAGCACAGTTCTTTAGTCTCCAGAAAGCTGTTGCTATTATGCACTGATTTCACTGTTGATCACAAGAATGTATTACTGCATATTTAAAATCTCAAGTTGTTATTAAATTTGAGCACTGACATATGGAATCGGTGCACAGAGTATAGGAGCATATTGTTCCGCAAGCTTCTGTGCTGTCAGCTTCTGAATACATCTATTGGCTTTTTATCACAAATAAACACTGACAGCAGAACTACTCCAGTGGGTGGATATATTCAAATAAACCAATAGCATTTTATATATTTTTGGTGCAAGGTTAAAACACTTTTCTCCAGCTGCTGTTTAATGGAAGTGAGCTGTGACCTGTGAGAAGCAATGGAAAGAGTAGTTACATAGCTACAATGTAAATGTAAAATTTGTACTTAAATAAAAAGTACACACGCAAATACTAAGTTACTAGTTACTTTTTGACACTTTTTAGATCACAATTTTTTACAAAACTTGATTAGTCAGACTGAGACAACCATGCATTAAGATGATTGGGACTTATAGAGTACTCAGTAACTTCTGGCATTTTAATTGTAATGAAGTACTATTAATTGTTAGAATTTTACACAATTACAAATACAGGTTTAAGGTTACATCTAGTCAAAAAAATACAATTGCCCCCCAAAAATCTACTCCATTAAATGAGTACAATTATAGTTGTCCCGTGATAATATACTGTTCGAGAGTTCTCTCTTCTAGCTGATAGCAGATGTATTCTTTGAGCTGAGGGAACACAGCATCAAAGCATTCATTAAACCCTCTCTAATCTCACTGCACAAATACAACTCTATAACAGCTTTGAGATCAAGGAGAGGGCCCTGCTCCTGTTATATTCACATATATTCTCTGTCTCAGCTTGCAGACACCAGTGGGACTTGTGCCTTTGTGTGTAATGCATTGTTTTTGTTTTCTTTGTTGACACACAGGAATCATCTGTACATTTTTACACGTTCACCCGTTCGGAGCCAGCCTCGAGTACATCTGCTCCTACCTGCAGCGTCTGGACTCCAAGGTAACAGGCTTGAATGAATGAGTGTTCCCACTGCTGATCTGTCCTTTATTATCCCATTTAACTCCCACTGGGTAAGCATATGGTGGGGTGAGTCTTGAGTCTATATTATAAGTACTCAAAATGTGCGTATAAACAAAGCTCAGCATTCTCTTTTGTTAGTTTCATACTGCTTCTTCTTCCTTTTCCATTTTGAACGCCGTTTTGAAATCCTGCCTGGATTTATTGTATATTCTTCATGGGCAGGTCACCGTTAAGCCTCAGACAGGTGAATTGGCCTCAACATTACGTTGCAGTGATCTTGTCCACTCACAAAAGCAGGTCAGCAGTACATGGATGAACATCTGGCACAAAATTGCAGTTTATGTGAATAACTTTTAGGGTGTATGTCGCAACTGTCTGATTTTCATTTTATACGCCAAAATAATGGCAAGGCAAGGGAAGTTTATTTGTATAGTACAATTCGCACACAAAGTAATTCAAAGTGCTTTACAGAATAAGAAAAACATTAAAATCACAATAAAAACTAATCAAAACATAATCATCATAAAATTAAAGATTAAAATTAAAAAATTAAAAAGAGAGAGAGACATTAATTACATAAATTAGAGAGAAGAGTGCGGAATGAAAACCTTTCAGTCGTATACACAGCTAAACAAAACCGTTTTGACCCTGGATTTAAACAGTGTCAAAGCAGAGGCCTGTCTCACATCTTCAGGAAGACTGTTCGAGGTTTTAACTGCGTGAACCTGAAACCCTGACTCCCTGTGTTTAGTCCTGACTCTGGGCACCTAGGAACCTAGGTGCTAGGAATTTTGAGTCAGGACACGAGCTGCAGCGTTCTGGATGTACTGCAGCTGTCCCACAGCTCGTTTGGAAAGGCCAATGAGCAGACCACTACAGTAGCTTAACATACTGGAGGCAAACGCATAGATAAGTCTCTCCAAGTCTGCTTTAGACAGTATACCTTTGATTTTTATAAATAATAAAGCTTTTTGCCCATGTTTTCCTCATGGCCAGTGGCCTTTAAAGCCCTGTGTGAAGCTTGCCTCAGGGGCACTCGGCACTGCATAGAGGCAAAGCAGGTGAGAGGATCTGGGCAGCATGAGATGGTGAATATGCTGTTTGCGGTCTCCTTTTTGAGGCTGAGCAGAGGCAGAGTGGTAATCACTGTCCGAAGCTACCCTAACTCACTGGCTCGGCAGGGATGGGGAGGAGCTTTTATAGGATACGACATTGCGTCTGACTCACTCCGGAGAGAGGGGCTATGGTGCTTCATTCTCCACTCGGACTGAAGCCACTGGCTGCTGCGGCTCTAAACTGCTGCCTCACTACAGACAGGGATTTGGGGACAATGCTCACACAACAAACGTTTCCATTCTCAACTTGAATAGGTAAAAATGTATTATACTTTGTACATGAATAAGTAAAAAATAATTATACTTTATGCATGGTACACATATTCAATTCAACACTCTATCTTTTTTAGACATGGCTTTGAGCTGCTCTAATCTAATGATAGTATTCTAAAAGCAGCAGCAGAGGCCCACTGTGCACACTTAAACACCCGCTGTTTACTCTTTTGAACCTGGATTGATCAATCTGGCCCTTAATGTAGTCTTTTTTTGTGTTAAGTACTAAGATATATAGCACAAGATGAAAGATTAAAATGATTATCATTATAAAGCGTGCCACAAATCTTACAGATAATAAACAAGTTTGATTGTGTTTTGGACCAGATTTTGGAGCAAAGAAGTGAGTTCACACAAGGATAAAGAAAGCCATCTTATCACTTAATCCTTGGAGCTGACACTGAAAGTAATTCAATGAATCGTCACTCTTTGATTCTTCTCTCTAAACCAGCGCAAGCTTCTCTCTGAGAAGACATTTTAGGCATAAGAGATATTATTATTATTATGGGTTTTCCTGGTAGTTTTAAAACGCCAACTCTCACTGTCACTTCCAAATGGTTTCACTGACATTAATAGGCATTTTATCAAATCTTTACTGCAGGAATTTGTGCTGAAAAACAAAAAGATGATATTTAAAGCCACTATAAAGAAACATAATACATAAATCCAGAATATGGCAGAATGTCTTTGCTACTTATTTGATAACACACAACTTTTGTCTTTTGCTCCTCTCCATAATCTATAATAGAATTACACTTTTGTTCTACATTACTCATCGATATTGGTCTCACCTTGAAAATATATTTCATCAACAACAGCTCCAGACAACTTTCCCTTTAGGATAGAATAAGAAAGTCATTTGTCTAATCTAACCAATTACCAGGCAGCATTATCTCTGTCCAACTGGAACATGAGGTCATTACTTTCTGTATTCATTTATTTATTATTTATTTAAGTTATTTAAATGTGGAGTCATAGTGCATCATATTTTCACATGTATGAAAGCAACCTTTCACCCTTGATGTAGTACAGTCTTCCTTACTCCCTCATTATCCTGTCATCCTAAAGCGGAGTGTGCTCTTCCAGCTATCTCATACAGAGTGAACTCCCTGTTGCCATTTTAGAAACAAAGCCCCCTTGACAATCACCTCCATTCTGACTTGAGATGCTATCCCATTCTTCTTATACAAATGAAAATAGTCAGTCCTGTTGGCCAGGCTCAAGGAACACTGTTGTTGTTGTTTTTTGCTGGTGCAGGATTGTAACAGTGACTTGTGTTTGTGTGTTGACAGATTACCACCGGTGAAGTGGAGGCGCTGCTCTCTCGGCTGCCCTGCACTTTCAGACAGGAGCTGACAGGAGTAGGAGCTGGGTTAGAGAAACGCTGGAACTTTTATGGATTTCAGGGCATCAAGAGCATATAGACTGTATACAGAGACTGCACAATACACTGGCACAATATTCACATGTGGAAGACTGAAAAACTGAAATTTCAGTTCAACAGGATAGCCCTCACACTGCCCAGACCAGACCTAGACAATTCCTTGTACATAAGGGCAAGACTGGACCAAGCCCACACAATTTATAAAAGAACCAGGGTTACGTTTAAGTAACCTGGAGTTTGTATGTCTTGTGCAGAGTTTTATTACAAAAATAAGCACATCTTATGTGTTTACAAGTTCTAGTGTTTTACCTGCAGATGCTGCTGTTGTCTCCATGCCATCTCTCTCTCTCTAGTTCTTGAAGGGCATCCGGCTCTCATCTTTCCCTCTTCCTCTTCATGCCTGCATCTCTCCATTTTATACAAGCACCTTCTGCTGTCACATCCTGGAATGTATTTACTTGGCAGCCAAACATTTTGTCTTGAGAGAATAAGAGAAGACTGAGGTGGCTGCTGTCAATCATCAGCAGAGAGCAGTAGCAGAGGGACACATGTGCAGCACAGCTCTGCAGTCTGTCTCTAGTCTCATGGTCTCAAGCACATGAATCTCCTTTTTAATTATTGTTTCTTTAAATGTTTGAGTTCATTGAATGTTGAAAGCACAAGAAAACTTGCAGAGGGCTTCAGTGCTGCTGCATCAATTCAATTCAAGCTAAATGATTCTGTTTCGATGATCTTCTTCATGCGGTCATTTCTGATCTTTGTTCTCACATATGAGAAGGTGTTACAGTGTGTAGTGCTATCCAGTACAAGTGAGCCAACAGCTAAACCTCAGATTTGTACATTGTTTGTGTATAATACTTGTGTTTTTTTTTTTTTTTTCTAATTAAAAGAATACATATTTCTAAATCCATACTACTCTTTGCATTTCAGTACTTGTATTTTTGGCCTTAGCCTTAAGATTAAGTTGACAGAAAGATTTAAACTTCAAACTACTCAGGTTATGGGCAAACATTTACTTACTAGACTGCACCACTTTTGGTCTCATTTATAATGAAAATATGCTGTCATCACAATGGAATGCCCAAACTGTGGCAGATTGCTTGAACTCGATTCACCAGTCAGTATTATTAATAAAAGAGTGACAGACTTTTGAAGAAGGCAGACGGCACAGCTCTAGTCCAGGACTCAGGGGGAGAAGCAAGTTTGAGCAGAGTGACAAGCAGCTCAGAATATATTTATCAACTGGATTCACAAGTGGCACTACTGACTATAATTAGAAAGCAACGTGACAATGGAGTTCTCATAGCACTTTCCCAAAGCTATGTATAACTCAGCACATGTTCACTTAAAACATGAAAATCAAACTTTACACATGGAGGGACAGACTATTTCTAGTTTGTAATTTAGGTAATCTTTGGCCTTGTTTTACAGGTTGTTGTTAGACAGTGGTGTGCCAGCAGTGCTTTCTGTGCTGATTGATGCTTTTATTACATCAATGAAATCACTTTTTTTTTTAGATCTAAAATTCTCTCAATTATCACATATTTTAAGGGTTATCCTTTCAGAAATGCCCTCTCTTTCCTTGGGCCTTCTGTCTGTAAGCTTTCTGGCCCTAATGTCAAAGCCAAACTGACCCATCGGTTTGTCCCTTTGCAGTTGACTGACAGGCAGACAGCAGAACTGCAACGAGTGCTAGCTTAATTAGTTTCACTCATGGATCTACTTTGGTGGAGTTTGAAAGAAAGAGAGTGTCCTTTCATTTGGACTTTCTTTTTGGACAAATAATGTGATTATTTTTCAAAAAGTTTACGTTTGTTATCGAAGTTCATTGTAAATACGCTCAGAATAGCATCTAAAAGAATCTGTCTATCAGCATTAAAACAATGAACTCTCATGGATTACACATCAGATGGCGACATGTCCCCAACATGTGTGAAAGTACTCATCTGGTGAAGACAGCAGCAGAGAATGAGGTGCACCTGTTATCACACGCTCTATGAACAGAAACTTGGATTATAGCCGAATGAGAAAACAAAGTTAAAACATGTCCATTATTATAGTTGTGTCCAGTTGTTGTTGGAGATGTGTGCATGTTCAGACTCGCAGAGGTGGCACCAAGTCGTTGTTTTGCAAGTCTCAAGTAAGTCTCAAGTACGAGTCAAGTCCCAAGTCAAAAACAGGCAAGTCCAAGTCGAGTCTTGAGTCACTGGCCCATAAGTCAAGTCCAAGTCGTATGCTTTGAGCTTCAAGTCATTTCAGTCATTCAGTTCATGTAGTTCTCTCTGTTTTACTGTATTGTACTGTAAACTACTGTGCCACATCACAGTACTTTTGTTTCATCCAAAGTACCGAACAGAGAAGTGGGAGAGACATGTTCCAGTTTGTTCCTGTAAAATTAAGCACTGCATATTTCAACTGTAAAGAGAAAAAGTATTTTCTAAAAACATGTGTTTTAGCAGAAGCATCAAATCTTCTCAATCCAAGTCAAGTCCCAAGTCACTGACCTGCAAGTCCAAGTTGAATCCCAAATTTTAGTCCATTTTATCAATTCAAGTCTCAAGTCCTTAAAATAGTGCCTCAAGTCTGACTCAAGTCCCACCTCTGCTGACTTGTGTGGTCGTATCATTCAGCTGGTGCATTGTAATCCGTGTATCATTCGTTCATCGTTTTTCATATAAAACCAAAAATAAGAAAACGAAAAAACAACAGTTTTCTTCGTTATTTGTCTCCAAAACCAAAATGAAAACACGGATAACGATTCGTTTTTTCAGTTTTCGATTTTGTGTTTAAATGAAGAATGGAAAAAACGGATAACGGCCGTTTCCCGTTTATGTGACTTCCGTGACTGCGATGCCGAACTTTTGCACCGCGTACGGACTGAACTAGGACTGATCAGGTCCGAGACAAGCGGGACTGAGACCGGGAGAATCACCACACCGGGACCAGAGCGAGATAGAGCGGAACTGAGACCGAGACCAGCGGTTCGAGCGGTCCGTGTCATCGTCTGCGTGCGGGGAAAGTGAGAATGCTCTGTGGACTACAGGTCCGGACGGGCTGCTCCAGTCCTCCGCTCAAGAACCGCGGCTGGTTCCGAGGTGGTGCAAAGCACCAAATACGCTTTCACACCAACGAAAACGAACCGAACTAAGAGCTTTTGGTTCAAATGGACCAGGTCCGGGACCAGACCGGGACCAGAGCGGAGGCTAGAGCCCACAACAGGACCAGAGCTCGAAGCTGAGGCTTGGACCCCGCGGAGGCTCAGAGTCAAAGCTTGGAGTCCGCCCCAGTCCCGCTCTGGTCCTGGTCTGGTCCGCTCTGGTCCCGGTCTGGTCTCGGTCTGGTCTCGGACCTGGATCAGTCCTGGTTCAGTCCGTACCCGTGCAAAAGTTCGGCATCGCAGTCACGGAAGTCACGTTAACGGGAAACGGCCGTTATCCGTTTTTTCCATTCTTCATTTAAACACAAAATCGAAAACTGAAAAAACGAATCGTTATCCGTTTTTCATTTTGGTTTTGGAGACAAATAGCGAAGAAAACTGTTGTTTTTTCGTTTTCTTATTTTTGGTTTTATATTGAAAAAATGAACGAATGATACACGGATTCATTGTGATAGGTATGTTATGCTTTTAAGTACTAATGCAATCAGTGTAGTCAACAAAAGGAGAATCACTAGTGTGAGTCTGTCCCAAAGCAGATGTGGCTACAACACTATAATTTTTATGTAAGAGTATTATGCACATTTGTTTTGTCCAAGGACACGTGGACAGTACAGGTGGACACTGCTGAGTGAAATTGAAAAGTCAAGTGAAAGTGAAATAATCCAAACCATCTCTGTGTGTATTTATCTACCTTATTTTTACCTGTGTCTGATGCAAAGATTGTGCAGCTGGTCTATCTACATTCAGTGAGAAGAGCAAGAACAAAACCAAAAAGGGCAAATGACAAAGTATTTCTATTGGGAGCAGACTGTCCTTTTTCCGTACAGCACTTGAACTCGGCATCAAACTAAATGTCTGATTCATTTTGACAGGGGAAGGCGCCTTAAGTATAATCTTTTACCCACCTCAGTGCACATGCTCTCCAGAGTGGGCCTAAAAGAAGGGCAAGCGTCATTGACAGGCTGACTATGTGTCCACCAGCACACTGTCACACTGCCTGAAGAAAACACTACAAGATGTCAGACAGTGTGGATGGACATTGTCTGAGGCTCCAGCTCCAGCTCCCATCGGGAATATACCAGCCCCGCTCTGACCAAACCTGATACAAATACAGGATTCCTCTGCACATAGACTCACTATAACTTGCAGGACCTCAGTGCTGGAAACCCATTATGACTAGGCCTGTCACGGTAAAATATTTTGATGATATGGACAATAAATGATTATACTGAGAAAAAATATCCCACTGACACTATAACCAAAAGGCAGGATTATCAAAAATGAAAGTAGTAGTAGTAGAATTAAATACTTTATTAGTTTGAATACATCTAGAAGTTATTTATTCATTTATTTATTCTTCAGCTGAAATCTAATCGTAGTACAAAAAAAGAACAAAAACTCCCAGTACAAAGAAAATATACCCATGATAAATACTGACCCCAAAAATAATTGTTCCACCTTTCATATATTGAACAATACACTGATATAGTAATTATCATGACAGGCCTAATCCATATGCAAGTGATCACATTTGCTATATATAAAGTCAAAATGATATCATTTCTAAGTTTCAGTTCAATTATAAGTTATATGCTGTCCAGATCATTAGCCTCATGCAAAACAATACAACCCAAATGACTACAGTGGCGCTCATGACAACTTCCAGACTTAGGTGATACTATACTGAGTTAAATTAGTCCGGCGAGGAGTTTTAGAGTGAAACTGGTCTGCCCTTGTTTACTAGCTGACCTCATTATGGGCTGTTACGCCTTGTAATTTGGTTCTTCTACCTTAGGAGTGGTCCTGGATCAATCAGGGATTACAATGTCTTGTTTCTAACTAATCGAGATGGAAAATTCAACCACGGGATGGGCTTGATCACA